TATATAAAAAATGTAAGAATAGATATTATTTTTATCATTAATAATATCTAGATAATTTTAATTGAGTTTTGGGAACAAAAAAAGAACAAGTCATGTCTTGGGAGGGCACTTGGGTTTTTGGGACCCAGTGACATTAAGTCACGTATAAATGCATTCTCTTATCGTAGGACAACGGTTCGAATTCAACCCCATATAAATTTGTAAAAAAAAAAAAAAAAAAAGGTCATGTAGCAGGAGGGGACGGCTAGGCCGTTACTCCAGCCAGCCTTACGTGGCATTTCTCCCTGCTACTCCAAGGTGGTGGAGCATGATAACCGTAATTGTGTAATTCAAGTCAAATAATTTTATAATCCCTCTCCTCTCAAAATGGCTACTTTACTCCAATGCTGGTTCAATAATTACATTTTAAATTGTACATTCAATGATGGGAATATGTAAAAGATAGTCTATTCTTCTCTCAAATGTTCAAACTTAAAAGTTGAAACCTAAGTTTAAATTGAAAATGACTCAAACAATAATAATTAGGACATTAATATTGGTAAAGACATTTATACGATTATCATCGATCACAATCCACGAATAAAAAGGGAAATCACTTTCTAGTGAAAAAACATTGAACCTCCAATATCCGTTCACAATGTAGCATGGGCAGAATTAACCATAAATAGGATATAAAATCCTACTTTTATATATACAAATCGAAATTGGTCTATTTGCTAAATGGTTGACTGGGTAAAATTTCCCAACTGCAATAGAACTTTTAAATTTTGGGTCTTTAAGACCAGAAATAAGAAGTTTGGAAAGAACAATGATTTTTTTTTCTTTTTCTTTCTTTTTAATTTCAATTTACACAATAAAAAGCAACAAATTATTTCTCATGTTTCATAAGGGATATTATAGTGATTAAGAGTTTGAATCTTCATATAAAAAATTTTAAGTTTAAATATTGCAATTAATTGGATGGGATTTAGGAATGAGAGAAAATAGTTATTTCTTATTATAAAACTCATCATTTGACATACTAAAAAAAAAACTATTTCTCATCATTTAACCTACACACTATATGTTAAAATAAATATGCCACTTTTTATTGTTTAATGGAAGCCATTAAATTAAACTAGGCTTCTAAGACCAAGTCCGCAGCCATTTAGTCAACAGCTATGTCATAATATTTTCCATAATACAATGGTAAAAGTATCTACTAAAAGGACTCAAATATAGGAATTACCTCCCAAAATAAGATAAGAAACAAA